GATACCTTTCTGAGATTCAAAACTTCGAACTTTGACTTGAAAATTTAATATGTCTGAGATACGACCAAGGATCGAAAAAAGTTTTATAGAACTCATCATGCTGAATATAGAGACTGATAATGGATAGTACCTTGTTCTGCATTCAGCTTTTTAAACGGAAAGGTCCTACTAACTCAATTTTTGTACTATTTTTTTCCACCAAATACATGGTTAATTCTCGATATTTTTACCTGCAAAGATGAATTCATTTGCTCGATTATTAGTGTCTTTGGATATTTATGAATCCTCGATCTCATTAACACAATGATCATAGCTATGTCATTTTTCATCTGTTCACTGCTTGTTTCTTAAACTAATAGACACCAAAGACCGAAATGAATGCCAAAAGTTCCATTCGAATTCTATTCCATCCGACTCAATTCGGTTTTATTCGGTCAAACAGTTTTATAAAAGATGCTATGTATTTTTAAACGTTATCCATAGGGATGTGGCAAATAGAAAAAAGTAGCTTGTGCAACGAAGCTATTTGAAATCTAAAAATGTGCTTATATCATTTTTTTGAAAATGGGAGATGCGCCCCCTCATTTCTTCCCATCGCCACATTCCTGACTATCCTTTTTTTGATAATACTTTTTCCTGAAAAGGATAGTACCTCTCCATGCTTTCATGAAATATATCAATTTCATATTTAACTTTACGATCACTTGTATTACTATTGAATCGAAAAAGACCGCTACTGCTGCAGAGAAACGATACCCTTTACACCTATTGCTCTATTAGAAAGAAGTAGATCAAAGTGTGCGGTTGCTTCGATATCGTTGAGCTGCATATGTATCTCAGTCATGTTTCGATCTTCTATTTCGATTTTGACTTCCTATAATGACCTGAAACGAATAAGATAAGAGACACCTAGACTCCTTTGTTGGGTCTTATGCACATCAAAGAAAAGAAACAGTTCTATTTTTGTGTTAAATGAGGGATGTAGATGTGGGTTTGAGGAGAGGATCTACACCAACACTCTGCGGAAAAACTAGGCTTTTGGTTTTCTGGAGACCCTGTCTTTAGGAATATAATTATGATTCTTATTTCCTTATATTCTGGTTGTAGACAGTTTTTTGTATCAGAATCACTATTTAGATTATTTCTAAAGTTCACGACAGCGAAGAAAATTGAAAATAAACCTGGTTGAATAATTTTGGGACTCACTGTATATTCACGTTTGTCATGTCTTCTTTCTTTTTTTTTAAGTGACTTTTAGGTTATATATGATTTCTCGATTGTCATTTTCGAATTATATGATCGAACATATTTACTATTATATTCGATATCATTCTTCTTCTTGACTCTGATTCAAACATTATCATCAATAAGTGGCCCACTGAGAGCTATACAGAGGATGATAATTGTTTGTTGTTCACTCAATCCAAATTGTTATGCATCGATAGTTATTCGAAGATTTTCTCGAACACCGTTCTTTTGATGAAAAACTACCAAACAAACCACTTCATATTCAATTTTTTTTCTTTTCAATATAAAATAAATGATATTTAAAAAAATACAAGAAAATCTCGGCATTACCTTAAGTTCGTCAACTCATATGATGAACCCTAGTATCGTCATGATAGTGCTATTGTGCCGCTACTTGCAAATGGTGATTTGAATTTCAGTGAATCAATCATTGACGAATTCTCCAGCCGAGAAGCATTCCTTTCACTATTCGTTGCATTCGAGATAAGTAAGCCCTTTTCTTTTCTTTCTTGTTTTTTTCCTTCGCAAGAAAAAAAAACGCGAGTGACATTGAATTTTGTTGTGTCCTTTATTTGCACAAGTTGTCACTTCTTACAACACGTTTTTCATACGAAGCAACAAAATAAATATTTCTTCAAATTGCGAGTAAGAAATTTGCGTATAGAAATAGCTGAATCTATTGAAGTCGCTCATTATCTATTATAGAACTGAACCATTTACCTTAACTTAAAACTAACTTAAGAAACATTACTTAAGCCTTAAAATTGATAAAAAGACATCAGCAGCGATTACTTCATTTCTTAGTATAAAGAGGGAGTTCGTCAGACCACTGCTAAAGTTTGTTTTGGACTTTTGTAGCTTGAATGAGAGATCATATGTTAAAAATTATTAATCGAAAATATTAGGCTTTTCAAAAGAAATGACTATTGTCACATTTTGTCTGATTTTTTAGATTTTCTTTCCTTTTTTTCTTCACTTTCAGTCGGGAAAGGTTTCAGAAGATGCGAACAGAATTCTCTAGAAAATGAACTATGTTAGAAGTCATCACAATAGCTTTCAGTAGTCAAGTGTGCTTCTACAAAAAAGTTGAAACCATATGTTCCAGGCGCTTGAAATTTTGGATCTTTTTTACATTAGTCAACAAGGTAAAAAGACGTGCAGGAAACTTTAGTAGGAACCATATTTGTTTTGCTAGGTGGCAACACCATAGAAACTCAATGCAGAAACCTATATCTGATTGAATATATTTTTAATAAATTTATTTTTTATGAAATAGTCATCTTTACTTCGTCTCAGCATTTTTTTAGGAAAAAATATTCGTAGTATTTCTCAGAGTCAGTTTTTCATAATCAATACATTTTCCTAAAACATATCTGATCTTATGTACTTTTTTATGCTGATTATAAATTCAGGTTACCCCTACCCAACGCAATTGTTTCAACTTTATGAAGCGTATATTCAACTGAATAACATTTTTATGCCTAAGTTTTGATGCCGACTATGAATATAGAGACCTATTTTTATTTGCCACAAACTTAATCTATAGTGGCCAATGGTCAGTCAAAATGGTTATTGAGGACTATCGAAGTGCACAATTTGTTCAGAATCTGGATTGATTTTGTTAGGACATCATAAATCTATTGAGTTAGAAGCGACTTACTGCCACAATAGTTATCATAAACCATAGGCTCTCTTTCTCATGGAAGCACGTTTGAGTATTAAAAGTTATTGTTATCAGCATTGACTTAACTCATTTTGTACAGAATTTTTTTCTGCATTTCCTGAGACTTTTTCCGATTCAAAGCGATGAATAAACACAAAGGGTGTGGGTGTGAGTGTGGATGGATGTGAGTGTATGATTCTTCAAAGAAGACCTACACCCACACCCAAAAAGAAATAATTTACTTTTAGTCTGTTGATTAACATATGTCATGAACTAAAACAAATACTCAAATCGATTAACGCTTATAAAAACGAGTCTTTGTTATCTCTCAAAGAAGTGTTTTATGTATTGGAAAATAAAAGTTTTCGACACATAACTCGAAAACTAAATATCAAACAGTTTAATGACGACTTTCCAAGGATCTTAGCCTTCTTTTTCAACAGATAAAAGACCAAAAGAGATGGGTGCCGTGGTTTTATTCATCTTCAATCAGTATTCTTGAATATTCACTCCAATTGAGTGGATCGAATGTATGAACGGTCGTCTCCATTGACACGAAAAGTAAGAAATTCATTCGTGTATATTCATATTCTAAAGACCGTGACAAAATTCTTCTTCCTTTCGTTACTTAGGTCAAAGTAGTTGATCAACTGCATCCAGTTGAAAATCTTCATAGAATTGATCTTCACGAAATTCCACAACCTTTTCGAATGTTGATCCAACCATCCGACCTTAATGAGTTGAATTAAACATTGGCAAAATTGAGATATTTTTTTTCGTTGAAAAAAGTTTTCTCACAACAAACGATTCACCAGCAACATTTCTTCGTCAATTACCAATAATAGACAAGTTCATCCTATTGATTTATGAAGTCTTTTTCCGGAGAAAAATATGTCAGTAAAAACTTATTCGGTATTTTTATTTTCATCCAGAACCTTCTGTTTCAATGACAGAAGTTAAAATCATTTTTTCGCCTATCCAAAATGATCGAATTCATTTCATTTTAATAATATCTCGTCACATTATTGTTGACAATTTTTTCATTTTTAGTCAAAGAAAAAAGTAGACGAAAATATTCATTTTTACCGTGAAAAAGTGGAAGAAAATTTCAATATTTCAAATGTAGACAAAATTTTCTAATCTCTGGCCACGAAAAAGAACTTTTGTTTTTCAATTCACACACCTTGAACAACACATCTAGTCGAGCTATTCTCAAATTCAAAACATTCAGAACGTCGGCGTAGGTCTGGAGCTAGTCTTTGCACTAAGAATAGATGCGAGTGTGAGTTTTCAGTTTAACTAGAGCATGCGTCTGTTTCCAAATAAGATAGTCATCCTTCAAACCCACACTCAAACTCTTAGCTTCCTGTAGATTCGACAAAGGTTCTCATGTGCAATTGTAATTGATGCAATATGCGTCAGTGTGTGGGTGTGTGAATGTGACCTAATAGATGATCTGTACTCATACCCTAACATGCCAAGGAAAGAACTCGTGAAATATTCCTTTTTCTTGTCTACGACTAATAAAAAAATTAATTCTAAGAAAAGAATGTTCGAACAGATGTTGTTTACATCTTTTCAAATGTTGTCATACAATTTATCAATAAATTAAGTGACCCTTGATAAAAAATATACGACACAATTTTCAATCTCAGTTATTATGCATTTTTCACTGAATGAAAATGAATGTTCAGTTATTAAAAGCACCATTATCCTTCATAGAAAAATTCGAATGCTAAACTTGGATATATTTTCATCGAATTCAGACTTCTATCGACATGAATACGTTCATTTCAAAAGAATTTATGAGTTATTTAAGACTATCGAATTCGATCAAAGTGTTAATAATTATTAATTAATAAACATAGAAATCTATTGAAAATTGATATAATCTTATTTCGATGCTTTTATTACACATAAATTCACTCATATTAAAGATAATTGAACGAAATTCGATTCGAATCATAAACAAAGAATATTGAGTAAATCATTGAAAATTTTTTCTTTATAAATATTCATATGAATTCATTTTAGATCGAAATATAAACAAAATAAATGCCATAATTTGAGTGACTTTCTTTCAAGAGAAATGGCAACAGGAAATGAACCAAGTTTATGTTCAATCTGCAATAAATCTTCAGCTACATCCTTCTGTACTGGATGTAAAAAATACTTTTGTCGAAAAGATTTTAAAGAACATGAACAACAATTATCGATTAAATTTGATAATGAAATAATAAGATCTCATGATGAACTTCTTGAACAAATACAAAAATTGGAAAAATCAAATTATTTATCATTGGATCTCTTTGATCAAATTGAACAATGGAAAAATGCAACAATCAACAAAGTTAAAAAAGCAGCAGAAAAAGTTCAACATGAACTTATTGAATTAATAGAAAAACAAAGAATAACAATAATAAAACAACTTGAACCAATAACAAGAGAAATTCGTTGTCTTCGAGAAGAAGAAAATATTGTTGAAAATGATATTGATCGACTTAGACAAAAAATCCATGAAATACAACAAAAACTTGAACAATTCACTCAAAAAAATATAAATAAAAGTATCATAGTTAACAATGATGAAATTGATTGGAATCGACTCATCTACATTCGTGAACAACAACAACAAAATTGTGAGTATTTAAAACTGAAGTGAGAGAAGAAAGAAATTATCTAACGTTTCAGTTGAATTTTTTTCTTTCATTAATCTATTTAAACTAATTCATTGAAAGATGAGAATCACTTCGAGAGATATACAATGTTCAACAAAATTGAATTAAATGTCATCTCGAAACTTATCTTTTTGACACAACTGAGAATTTTTTTATCCAAAATGAAAAACTGAACTTTCTGAAATTTCATTTCGAATTTCAATAGGAATCATCTCTATAAAACGATATTGAACAATTATTTAGATACAATTGATTTCATTTTAGGAGTTTTAGTGTTGAATATTTGAGGTTAGAAAACTCCTACAATGCGCATATCAAAGTTCATACTAATTCCCTACGAAAGATTGACTTGAAAAATGATATAGAATTGATTATTATGTCGTATAGATCAGAATAGTTTTTCATTCATTTTTTTGTCCTGCAATAATTTAACAAAAATCTCCATGAGAGTCAAAAGATTTTCAAGATCATCTATTTATTCACTTATTTCACTTTTGCTATATGTTTCCAATTGTAAAAATTCCACTTTCGACAACAAGTTGAACTCAACATGTCTAGACGAAGGGAATGCTCAAGTCAATACGATTGCTTATTCTAAATTGAAAAGAAAAGAATAATTTTTTTTTATATTTATCTTTACTAATGATTTAAATCGACGGATGACTTACATATTTCATTCACATGTTCATAGAATGAACAGGAAAATAGATAACTTTTTTCTAAGATGTTAATGAAAGACCGAACTGAAGATGATTTTCAATTTAGAATCAATAAAGAAAAATTAAATCCTTTCAGATATAAAAGAATCTAGATGATTGTTTCCTTTCCAAATGTTTACAAACAATCGAAGATGGGAATTTCAAGATATGATCTGCACCCCCACCCCACATCCTATGAATCTTATTACATCAACATCGAAAAATTTTCTTTGGTATTTGACAAAATTCGATTGATTATTATTGATAAATTATGTTAAGAGAAGTAAAAGTCATCGATGATGACTACAATAGTCTGTTCTTTGAACAAGTTTAGAGATTTTTTGCAACTCATATTAAGTGTCATTAGAAAGACAAGTAGAGCGATGTTACCATATCATTGAATAATTAGGAAAAAAAATGTCAATTTTCCAAATAGTTCAGTTATTAACATTGCATAAGATTGTAGAATTTCTCACGCTAAACAAAATCATTCTAAAATCTTAATAAGATGCAACTTTGACCACAAAAGTCTTTCTTCTACGATCTTCACAATTCAGAGTAAAATAATTATGGATTAATGAAACAACTGTCGATATCGAAAAATGATGGCTGATTTTAATTGAATTTTCCTACTCCTCAAAATAGAAGAACAGTCATTTACGATATATTAACATATTCGATGAATGTTTCACAATGTGCAATATTGAAATGACATTGCATTGATGTGTCCGATAAGAAAAGAATTGATTTTTAACACAATACAAATAAAGATCATGTCTGAGAATAAATTTATCATAGAAGGTTATGAAAATCTTGTGTGCAATTCAGTTCGATTTGGATGTGAAATAAACTATGCATTGTCAACTTAAGGAAGCAATGAGAAATCTTGAGAATTCTTGCTCACTTGTATCGAAAAACACATCGGTTTCATCAATGATCGATT